TGACGGAGCTTCGCGGGTCTAGCGATTTCTCCGAAGCAATCATCGTTCTTTCACGACTGGCACTCCAGTACAGCCGCCTTGGTTACTGTACGAAGGCAGACGAACTATTGAGCCGAGCGGATCAATATCTCAGTCAGCGCGACATTTCTTGCTTGGCGACGCTTTCACACAAGCTAGCTCGCGTGGGCTACTTCCTCGAAATTGGTGAGATCCAGAAAGCAGCGAGTACACTTTCAGCAGCCCGAACTCTATATGAGAAGAACCAGAAGAAGGAAGATCTCAACGCCTGCTCGGTATTGTCGAAGCTTATGTGGGAGAGGTTGGTAGCCGACGCGGCATTCATGAGCTCACGGCTCTCTTTCGCTCAGGGCTCGATCAATGATGCTCTGTTTTTTGGCAAATTGTCTGTCAGACTGAATTGCAGGATTTGGGCAAAGATAGAAAAGCTTGCTCAAAGAAAACAAGACAAGATTGCCCAATCAGCCGAAAACTCTGAGCTGGAAACTGTGGTTGAAGGAATGGCGAAACTCGAGGTCTCCCAAGCGAACGCAACCCTGGCTGTGTACTCACAAGGTGCGCCGTTTTGGCCTCATATTGGTTCCCATCACATGGCTCTGCTGAACCTTTCGAGCCTTTCCGCTCATCACGGCTTATTCCAGGACGCCATCTACTACGGAGAGCAAGCGCTGAAGATCAACAAGACATTAAATGCCAACGTCCGCCTGATCGCGTCACAAGCGCAGCTTGGCTCGCACTGGATCTATGGTGGGCATATGAAGGAAGGCCAGGAGCTTCTGGCAGCGGCTGAGTCATTGTCCAAGCAGCTCGACAACAGCATTGAGCTTGTTTCATTACAGATCGGCCTTGCTTCTCTGCATAGAGCACAGGGTCGTTACCGCGATGAACACCGTGCTCTCCTCGAAGCCGACAGGCTCATGGCTGAGTGTGGCGCTTCTGAGTCATTGGACGTTCTCTCGGGTGTGGCAGACCTTAATGATAAGATGAAAAAGCTACAGGTCCAAGGCACTGCTAGGAAGACGAGGCAACGGGCGGCCACTACGACCCGCAGAACTCGTGCAGCAACTACAAGCGCACCCAAGGCAAGCGCCGGCTCCGAATCGACGGAGACAGATTCGACGTCACTTCTTCATTTGCGGAGCGACATTCTTCGGCAGCAGGCAGCATGCTTACGTTCGCTACGGGACTTTGAAAAGGCGTCCAGCTTGCTGGAGGATGCACGCAAGTTTGCAACTTCTAGAGACAGTCAAATCTCCCTGCACATTGGCGAAAGTGAGCATCTACTCGCTGATGCTATTCGGAACTTCGCCACTCACGCAGTGTACTGTGTGCTCCCCGAATCGACCATCTCCCTGCCATCGCTCCAGTCGCCAAGTAAGACGGCGAGCCAGAGCAGCAGCAGTAAAACAACTACCACTCGCAGGACACGAGCGCCAACAAAGACGGCTACGAGAGGTACACGCTCTAAGACGCCCAAGCCGACCGAGGACTTTTCTGTGATGCTCGCCAAAGCGAGCGAGAGTCTGAATTCCATCTTTCCGCTTGCCACGACCCTCGGATCAACCCTTGACAGCCATGCCGCCTCTCGTTTAATGAGCCGTATCTCCATGTTGACCCATGTCACAGCACTTGATAACCTCGTTTCACTCTCTCAGTCACCAGCAAATGTGAACGAGGTTGGCCGCATTGGTGCGTTTACACGGGAGCATGCTGCCATCACTCTTGACAAACAACTCGCGGACTACTGCGACCCTCTGCTTTGGCCGACTGCTGAATCTGCGATGGTACCGGAAGAGGATCTCTGCTCACGTTTTACCGAAGAATATGTTGATATTCTTCCGGAGAACTGGAACGTGCTTTCTTTGTCCTTGAGCACTGACCGTACCGAGTTTGTGGTTTCTCGGTTGCAAAAGGGTCGTTCGCCGTTCTTGTTGCGTTTGCCTCTCAAGCGTGGCAGTTCGGAGGATGAAGAGGAACAATACACATTCGAGGATGGCAAGGGAGATATGCAGGAGCTGATTCGACTGGCCAACGAAAGTGCGCATGCAGCTAAGCACCAAACCGACCGGCAGATGAAGAAGGACTGGTGGAAAAACCGGGAAGCACTGGACCGTCGGATGGAAGCTCTTCTGCAACATATTGAGACTGTGTGGTTCGGTGGATTCCGCGGAATATTCTCCCCGGTCCCTCACGAGACTCGTTCGCTTGCACGATTTGCGGATGCATTCCATAACATCCTGGACAAGCATCTTCCCTCGCGCCGCAAGGGTGGTCGTGCAGCCAGTCCGCGGTTGACACTTCATCCGAATGTGCTTGAATTGTTCATCGGTGTCAAGGACCTGGATGACCAAGAAGATCCGGAAGAGACGTTGATGGACCTTCTCTACTTCGTCGTTGATATCTTGCAATTTCAGGGTGAGCGCAACGCATATGATGAGATCGACTTTGACATGATGGTTGTGGAAACCCTTGACTCTCTGAGGGGTTATCACGAGCAAGTCCAGAAAGAGCAGGGCAACCCTTCACCCAACCGGACTGTTCTGGTGTTGGACAAGTCCTTGCATATGTTCCCGTGGGAGTCCCTTCCGTGTCTCCAGGGATTCCCGGTGTGCCGTGTGCCCTCCTTGGAATGTCTTCGTGACCGAATCGTGCGATTCCGCGACGAAGGTGCGGAAAGCAAGGCTGGCTTTACGATCAACCGCAAGAATGGCACATATTTCCTCAACCCCACCGGTGATCTGCAAACCACGCAGGGCACCTTCGAGAGAGACCTGTTGAAGCTGGAGGGGTGGAGCGGAGTGGCCAACCGGGAGCCTACAGAGGAGGAGTTCAAAAACGGGCTCGAGTCGAACGACGTGTTCCTTTATTTCGGGCACGGCAGTGGCGCACAGTACTGCCGGGCGCGGACGATCAAGCGTCTTGACCGATGCGCAATCACATTCCTGATGGGTTGCAGCAGTGGTGCTCTGACGGAAGCCGGCGAGTATGAGCCGTACGGCACGCCGATGAACTACTTGCATGCGGGGAGTCCGGCATTGGTGGCCACTCTCTGGGATGTGACGGACAAGGACATTGACCGGTTTGCCAAGAGCACGCTGGAGAAATGGGGCCTTGTCGGGGGACGGGAGCAGGCAGTGGCTTTGGATGATGCGGTTTGCCAGTCGCGGCAGGCCTGTGTGTTGAGGTACTTGAACGGAGCGGCGCCGGTGATCTACGGCATCCCCGCGGTGTTTTTGGCGTAATCATTGGAGATGGATAAGCATTGGCGTTCTTTACATTTTGGGAAGGGAATATGATACCTATGGCATAGCATGGCAAGGTAGTTAGTTTAATTCTACATTTGATACACTTCATCATCCATCCTATCTATCCAACCATCTAGATTGTCTCGATGATAAATCCGGGATAGCGTCGATAACTTCAAACGGCAAAAATTTCCGGAGTTTTGAGGGATCCACCGCCCCTCATTTTCCCCTCATCCGATATTTCCCCTCATCATTGTTGATATAATAAACCATCCACCCTTTCTTTCCCTCCCTTCCTATCTCCATCTCTACCCCATCCACAACACCCTAGAGTATACAACTATGTCCGTCACAACAAAAGCCACCATCGCCTCCTTCGGCGGCAAGCTCCTGAAGCTCACCCACGCCGCCACCTCCACCAAATGTGAAATGGGCTTCAACCTCTACCTACCCCCTCAAGCCTACCAGAACCCCTCCGCGAAGGTCCCCGTCCTCATCTATCTCTCGGGTTTGACCTGCACCGCCGAGAACTGCTCCGAGAAGGGCTTCTTCCAGCACGGTGCCAGTAAGAAGGGTATTGCTGTGTTGTATCCTGATACGAGTCCTCGTATGTGCCCCAACCCTCTTTATTTCAGTCTTCGATCATAGTCATATTTATCCTCTAAGTGTTGTGATAATGCTAATAAATTGGATGTGGGGGATTAGGCGGCCTCAACATCCCCGGCGAAGCCGACAGCTACGACTTCGGCACGGGCGCCGGCTTCTACGTCGACGCGACCAAGCCGCCCTACGACAACGGATATAACATGTACACGTACATCACGGAGGAACTGCCCGCGACGGTGTTTGCCGCGTTTCCGCAGTTGGATAGTGAGCGGGTGAGTATTACGGGGCATAGTATGGGTGGGCATGGTGCTTTGACTTTGGTACGTATACCTCTCATCTAGTATCTATCTATGATATTGGGACTTTTTAGAGTTAATAATTGGGATAGTTCCTCCGCAACCCCGGCAAATACAAGTCCGTGTCTGCGTTCGCGCCCATCACCAACCCGATTAACTGCCCGTGGGGACAAAAGGCCTTTTCGGGATACTTTGGTGAAGATCAGCAGGAGAAGTGGAAGGAGCATGATGCTACGGAATTGTTGAAGAAGTGGAAGGGTGGGAGATTGGATGTTTTGATTGATGTTGTATGTTCACACCCTCCCCCTTATTTTCCTCCTTTTAGGTTGGATTGTGAGATGTATACTGATGGTTGTGTGTGTGTACAGGGCACCGGAGACAACTTCTACAAGCAGGGTCAACTGCTTCCTGAGAACTTTGAGAAAGCTGCCAAGGAGGCTGGTGTGGAGGGTGTGACGATTCGGTACCAGCCTGATTACGATCACAGTTATTATACTATGGCGACGTTCTCGGATGATCATGTGGAACATGCGGCGAAGTTTTTGTTTGCTTAGTGGGTTTTTTTCTCTCTTCTCTTATCTTCTCTTCTCTTTCTTTTTCATCACTTCTCTACCTGTGACTAGACTGGTGTGTCTATTATTTGTAAAAAAAAGATATTATGCAAAATCTTCATGTGACTGTTCTGATAGTGTGAAGCGATCGTCAGGCTAGAGCGTCGTTATAGATTCATCTATCGGGGGGATGGATATAATTAGGAATATAATGATGTGATGATGGTGTATATAACATGGTTTCAGGGAAGACATTCTCATTAAATAATTAAGCTACTACAAAATCACCGCAACCGACTTATCAACCCCATGCATCGACTCGGGGAACTTGCAGTCTGCACTGCAATGTCCCTGCTGATTCTCCCACGGACACTGATGTCCACAAATACACTTGGGGTCCGTACACCAGATATCATTCGGGCAGACGCACGTTCGCGTAACGCACCAGAGATCATGAACATCCCTAGATCCGAGTCGGCGTCCATGTCTGTGCCCGCACTCATCACCAAGGGGACACTCTCCTAGAATATGATATCTACTGCAGTATTTCGACCTTCGCAACCTTTCGAAGTTCTCTCTGCTGCTGGCCCGGGGTGGCGGGTCAACCCGTTGGCTCTGGCTGTTAAGCTGGACTGTGTTGAATTGGATATGGGTGTCGTATGAGGGGGAGATATCGAATGTTATGACTGAGATTTTGGATCGTTTGGATCTGTTTGTTCTGGTGGGGGATGTCGCTTGAAGGTTCGACTTTGCTATCGTGGCGTAATTGCGCTTTGGAGTTGAGGGTGTGCTGAGGCTGGTTGGAGAGCTGCTGGGTGACGAGTTGGCGGATGCGGTTTTGAATGCGCTGAAGGATGATGCTCGGGAGGGTAGCTTCGTGGATCGGAAGACCTCGGGAAAGGATGTGGTTTGGAACTCGCTTGCTAGCTGCTCCATTTCCCATGCGAAGGGTGCTCCCTGGACGAGCGAGATGCGGTTGGACCCTTGGTGGGAGCCGAGGATGCGTGCGTAGCCATTGTCGGTCGAGCCACAGAAGATGATGCGACGGCAGTGGACGTCTAGGATATCTTGTTCGAATGTTGCTATGACGGTGGTTAGTACATGCCATGATTTGGTGAAGAGGGCGACGTACCCCGTATTTTGACGTCTGAACACTCCTTACCGTTTCCTGCATCGATAAAATCGCACAGGCTGTTCTCCATATTGAATCCCCGAATGAATGGATCTAGCGCTTCGTTGGAACGCAAGATGTGTGCTTCCCGATACGTTTTCATCAGGCCCGGAACGTTGGCGTACACCCGAATACGGTACTGGATGTTTGGGCTGGCCTGTGGATCGATATCACGAATGTGACGCTCGACGGACTTTCGGAGAAGCATGGCAGCTTTGCGTCCACCGTTGTAGCCTTGTCGGATGAGAGCATCGTTGAACTAAGTTGTCAGTATAGGACGAGACAACAGTCGGACGCTTACTTACATTCATGCAGTCACCGTCGACAAGCACAGAAACAAAACTTAATTTGGACTGCAAAACTGTATGAGCCTAAGGAAGCGAGACATTCAGGAGGGAAGAAGTACCTGGTCAAGCCGCAAGTCGTCGTACTCTGTTTTATACTTCTTCAATTCCTGGAACTTCGCATCACCAAGCGTGTTCTGAAGGGCCCTCTGCAGACTTTCGACCTGGGCAAAGAGATTCTGTCGAAGAAGAGGTTAATAAATTGAATATGCGTTATGCTGTGAAGAAGAGTACCTGAAGAATTTTGTCTCTGCTATCTTCAACTGCCAGCACGGCTTCGTAGCGTCTTTTCACTTCTAGGAGGTCGATCATTATGACGACTTATGAACACGATGTATATACCAGCGTATGTTCCCCAGAATGAAAATATTTTGTGAAGTATAGAATTGAACAGGCAGAGGAGCAGGTTCCGGATCATGTCGATGGCTAGATGATATTTATATTGTATGGTTGGAGGCGGCAGGTAACTGGGGCCTATCAATGAAGCACCTTTCGAGGCCATGGTTTTCGGGAGACACCACGAATGTCGCGACTTCGAACCACCCCATGAAACATTGTTAGCCAATAAGTCCTGCGTGTTTATCTGAATCCCAACGGATCAGCTGTGCTGAGATTCCAGCGTGTCGTGCTGGAAAAGTGCAGCGGTTAGTATACGCCATGGGTTGGACTTGGCCGACCCGACAGACGCCCAGTGTGATGAGCAATGACACTGCATGGAAGCTGCGCTAGAGAAGTTAGCGTGAGAGGAGATGTGAAATCGAGTGATTGTCGCTATGGAGAGGGGAAGAGGGGAGAGACGCCGAAGAGACGAGGCACGCACAGCTGGCGCTAGATTGACGGGTTGGCATTGGCTGGCCCCAGGCACCCCCATCCGCCATCACTGCGAGGACCCAGACATCTTCCACCCGCTTGGAACCGCTTGCGTTTGTGATGTTGGAATATTTACTGGCAACGGGAGATGTTGCGCTTTAATCCCAAATCATAAGGTCTTGCTTCATTCTGTTGGTTTGGCGCGCAACATTGTCCGGAGTGTCAAAGGACATGGCTCTATTCCTTCCAGTCAATGTTTCCAACAACAGATCTCATGATCGACAAGATTTTAGAGTTATCTTCTGCCGTGTCCTAGGATACATCTAAGGCCGAACATTGTTTCAAAGATAGAAATGTGTTGGTGGTTGGGATAGATGATGAAGACCATAGCGGAAGCTTGAAAGTGTCACAAGAGATAGTACATGAATAGAACGAGTGATAAGCATGACTGTCAGTCTCGGGCAGTTATACTAGTATTATACATTGCCTACTTTCACTATGAATGCGTACGCAGCATGCGTGCTTATATAATTTCCCCTGACCGGCAACAGCACCTCTTTCCTCCCTTCAGTATGAATGCTGGGAATGGATTCTGGAGAATGGCTGTTCCATCCGAAATCCAGCAGTAAAAGCTTACCAACCGCCATACAAAGCAGGACATCCCGCTCATGAAAGGAACCTTCCCGTGCGCGACCATTATACGAATGATTTCTCCTCACAGTCACATTCCGAAGAAGCTACACGTGGGATATTCGGATGGTTAAGATCGACAGGGTACCCTGGCAGCGAAAGGCCTATATACGAGCATGCCTGGATCGATATAGAAGGCACTGATGATGAGGAAGCTACAGAGGTTGAGGACGGACGGGGAGATGTATCATGTTCTGAAGAATATGTATGTAGAATGCTGGCTAAAGGGCATAGTGCCTTTATATTAAACTTAGGATAGGAAAGGATAGTCGATGTACCCTTTGGGGGTACCGGGAGTATAGGCCAGGTCGCCATTGAAAGGGTTTGGTGCGATACCCTTCTTAATGCAAGCCACAAGATCAGGCGTTGAAGCGAACGACCGACCGAATCCAACGGCGAGCTTGAAGTCCTTATACTCCTCAACAGCGCGCTTTGCAGAATCTCCATCATACCCCCCAGTGATGATGACAGGTATGTCTGTTCGCCAGCTATCAAAGACAAAATCAAGAGGCTTTACACGGTCCACATCGTACCAGTTATCCACACGAGATGTAATGACGTGTAGGTAAGCCAGGTCCAACTTCCGCAACTCAGTGACTAGATGAGTGAACTGAGACTCCGGATTCCGAGGCTCGATAGAGTGGTATGTGCTCCAAGGACTGATGCGGAAGCCAACACGATCACCACCAACAGCATCAACAACAGCGGCAGTGACTTCGAGTGCAAAGCGCGAGCGATTCTCAACCGAGCCACCCCATTTATCCGTCCTATTATTGCAAGATTCTTGGATGAACTGATCGATAAGATAGCCATTAGCACCATGAAGCTCCACGCCATCGAAGCCGGAGGCTATGGCATTGCGGGCAGCAGTGGCGTGGTCGCGTATGGCGTCATGGATGTCCTGCTCGCTCATCGGCTCCGGTGGTCTATCATCATTTTCAGTCTCTATGGCACTGGCTTGAGCCTCGAGGGGGATATTGCCAGATGAGAGCTTAGAAAATCCCTTGTCTGCCGTGCGACCTGCACAGCAAAGTTGCAGAAAGATATAGCAACCCTTGCTGTGAACTTCTTCGGTGATGGCTTGCCATTTCTGCAGCTGGCTTTTGCTCCAACATCCTGCCCATTGGGGAAGACCCACGAGCTTCTCCGATACGGCTGTGCCTTCGGTGATTATTAACGTGCCTGGTGTGTGTGATCGCTGGCTGTAGTATTCCTTGGCGATTGGCAGAGGTCCGTGGTCTGAGTCTGTGCGAAATCGTGTCATGGGTGCCATGACAATGCGGTGTTGGAGCTGACATTGTCCAATGTTGAGAGACTTGAATAGTGGAGAGGTCGTCATATTGATGTGCTGGCGCCCAATTTCAAGAGTACGAAAAAGCGTAGATTTGATCAAGGATGAGACGATATATGGTTGTTATAGAAGAGCAGAATAAGTAACTTGATCAAGATTGCGACCCGCCCAAAGGAGTTCCGAAGCTTTTCCCAAGACGTTGTCGTATAACTATTACTCAATGAGGAGGCTTGAAGGATTATCACATAGCTCAAGAATGGATGAATCTAGCTCATTTTTATATCTCGACTATTATATGACGGCATGGACAATAATCAACCTTACAAGGCATCTATCTATATGTATTTGTCAGGCTGAGTTGAACCTACTCCAACTCCGCCGCTGAAATCATTCGGAGAAGCGACCCAAGTTTTTGGAGAAGTTTACCCCAACCGCGTCAACCACTCTTGACTTTTTGTCTCGCAACTCGAAATTTCAATTGATACTGCATTGGATATGATCATCATTTCAGTGTATTTCTGTAGTGCCAGTATTGGGTATGGGACATTTGATGGGCGTAGATGCGAGGATCTATGTATTGAGATCATATCATCTTCAGGAGCAAAGTGGAAGGCTACAAAGCGGAGATGTTATATTGTTATGTTTTAGATATAACGCATTTGGGGCTAAGAATGTAAGGCACCAAGAAAGGTACCAAGAAGAAGACCAAGTTATTTCATGTCATTAACCCTAATACAAAATCTCAAAATAATTGGTAGCAGATGTGGGTGATCTTATCATCTCAGTCACAACGACGCAGCACTTGTCGGGTATTGAGTTGATGTATATCTGTAAAGTTAGTAGTTTGATGGAGCCGCAAATAGAACAGAAAGCGAGCAACAGATTAGACTAGAAAGATTCTTACTAGGTATGGAAAAATTCGTACACTATCCAGCATAACATCTAGACAAGCTGCAATGCCATCATCAGTATTTGATGAGAGCCTGGCTTAATCAGGGTTGATTAAGGTGCATTAGCGCAGAACCGCTTTTCAAATTAAGGAAACATATTAGCTGCACCCCATAAAACTAGCAGATATCACTAGGGGCACATGTAGAACTAAAACTCATGTTGGAGGAATTCATCCTACAACAGGTTTTTGGCAAGGTCCACACTAAGAGATTTAGTAATGCTCTAACTCGGGATTACAACAAGGCACTTGTTGACAAGGATTACAGATTAGTCCTGGATATCTCCAAAATCTCCATGAAGCTCTATCGAATAGATTTTGTGAAACGTTGTCGGCAGGGATCAAGGGATATGTCCCTTAAACCAAAGCCAGGTAAGTACCCCAACTCACGATATTACTCCAACTTCTTTCGCTAATAATGTGGTTTGATGTCTCTGCAAATGCCAACGTCGTTACTCCAACTATTTGATGTATGCCAAGGAGTATAATGGATATAAGTCTACTAATTGTTAACATCTATTGATCGTTCTAATTTTCTTTTCGCACAGTGTTTAGGATACGAAACACTCATATGCAACTTTGAATTTATGCTCACAATCCCCCGGACTATATCCGGTGTATTTACATTGATAATGTTTCCTGGGTCTTATGGTAACTTCAGAATAAACAAGAAAAGATTTTGAAGGGTTGGACACTTCTTTCCAATTTCTAGATTGAGGGATAGGGATGCATAGTTTTTGAGCGTATTGGGATCAAACACTACATCTTTGATAACGCTAGGACTAGATCACAGGAAAACGCGAGCGTTGACTCTGGCAATGCCACACTAGATACTTCAACATACCTTGGAACATTGTTTCCTTTGGTTCAGCGATGAATATAATGGATGTAGCGATGTTTATAATCCATTAAATGAGCATTGATTCCGTTTAATTGAACGAAGCACTGACACGTTGAGGTTATGGCCTTCAGTGTTGGGATTTGTTTCCTTTCAGTGGAGCTTTATTCACTCCTCATGTGAGTAACACATGCCTTTTCTGCGATCACTGCCTCTACTTCACTACTACTTAGCAGTAACACGTACTGTTTCGCAAAACTCTATATATATATTGAAATCCCCTCGTCTTTATGCTTTACTGTAAGAGCTCACTCTCGCTACCCATATACCTCATGCCGAAATTTGTGGCTTTCTCGTGTTGCTTGCTCTGCTCTGGCTGGCTGGGTGAGGAAGACTGGTCAAAGGATTTCATAATAGGTAGACTTTACTCTTCTCCGGGCTTGTCAGTGTTAACCGATCCCATCTAGTGTGCCATGAGAATGGCAAGCTTTACCTTGGTCAGCTGTATTACGACATGTCTAGGGCTTACCAAGACATATATTTCGATGAAGATATTGATCAACCGGAAAGAACTGTTGTGCTTCCTTGGCCTTCCTACACATCAACGGATTGCTTCCTCATTCATTTCTCCTGCTATCAAGTTCTGCTTGAGCAAACTGCATCGCAGATAGAAGTTGAACAATTATTTCGATTGTGTCAGGCCTTACAGCCAGATAGACGAAGAAATTTTGGAGACCACGCACAAATGGAGCTGCACAGTATGATATAACCTACAGCGGATATTTTAACCATGCTGATATCACTTCCCAGCTTGCTTCGATCCACATACTGCTATTATACCCTCTGACATTGCAACACGTTGCACTGGGCCGTACATGGAGACAGACTCTGCTCGCTGTGATTCACAATTGCTTGAACTTCCCCTTGAGATTTTCACCATGATCCTAGATTACCTTCCACCGACGGATCTGATTCGGGTGTTTTGCTCCAGCAAGATTGCGCTGGATTACGGTGCTTCATTCATGCGCCGAGAACCAAAGCAGTTCTATCGATGTCTTCCAGCTGATGACGAAGGTACATCCTTGCGCAGAGTGCTACTTGTCCTTTCTTCGGGGTTTCTAGGATCAGAATACCATAGTGCAGGGCTCGATCTGAGATGGGAGGTAGTATCTAGAATAACAGAGGTAAGCAAGTACATAGGCAACCTGGCTATTGATTCGATGTCGCCGACCGTGGATGTATGCGCCCCGACAAAATCGAATAATCATGCCTACGGATTCAGGGATTCCTTCGCAATCTTGCCCATTGATCTTCAAGCGATCACGGTCTATGGAGTTAGAATGGAGGGCCATATTTATGTTTGCGGAATTGATCTTCGGACAAGAAGCACTAATCAACGCATTGGTACCCATTCCGAGCTAGTCTCTCAACTCTATCCTATACATGATCAGATTGATGTTATCTGTTTTTTGTTGGACGCTGTCGGGATCAGAAGTCTGAAGTTCGGTCGTTCAGAGTGGAGCTTCGGGGATCCGAAAAGAGATCAATGCTGGGAAGGACTTAGTATAAGGAGAGGGGAAGGGAGGCTTAAAGTTGTGCGAGACGTATGTGTTTCTTACCAAGACTCGACTCCACCTGCTGGTTAACCAGTTTAACGAAATGATCCAGGCACTCAAATTCAGACATATTGGGTGGTGCTCCGACACTACCGTTTCCTTTCCAGAAACTCTTCTAATGCAGAAAAGCCATGCATTCTGGAACGGTCATATCGATGAGACTCATTACATTGCAGGAGACCCTCAAGATGAGAAAGATATGGTATCGAATATTGGGAACTTCACTGTCGAGGCCTTGTGGTTAACAGAGAATCTATCGGGAGTCACGTTCTATAGTGCGTCAGGTGGTATACAAGGTATCACCATACATTACTCGTCAGGAGGGACAAGCACCGCTGGTCAAACCAATGACCGTCGTACGTATTTTCCGATACACAGACCAGATGAGGTTCTTGCGAAGGTTGTTGTTCGTGTTCTTCCACAGTTCCGATTTCCATTTCTTAAGGTAAGTAAATCTACTTATGCTCCCTAACTTTCCTTCATTGGCTCATTATGACTAGCTCAAGGCGGGGGACGAAGACGCAGAGGAGGTTTATAGCAGCCTAAGTCTCAAACCCCCGAAAAACTGCTATATCAAAGGTTTCTATTTTCGGATTGTAGACCCGTGGATTGAATCTATTGGGATAATTTACGATGATCTAGAGGAAAGGAGTGATTTACAGGCTGAAGCATGAAGATTCTGAGCCTGGCAAAGCTATGCAAGCGTTTTCCGCCAGAAGACTTGAACAGTCATGAACTTTCTTTCTCATCTTGACAAAAGAATCTCTCTCGTCTATTGTTACGTTTTTAATGTGTCCAAATTCCCCCAATGTCTTGAGGATTTTCAGTGGTATACTCAAGTCATTGTTCAGTCACTTGTTTTAAGCCAGAACCACTACAATAACTGCAATCCATCCCACATTATTCATATTATAACACAGCACCAAAATAATCCCTCACATCTAAGCTCCCCCACGACTCTCCAGCTCCTCATACAACTCCTTCGTCCTCTCAAATCCATCATCCAGTGCACCCTTCCCCAACTTATCGTCATGGTTGATAAACCGCCCTACCCTCTCCATCATGAATCCCCTGTACCGTGCCGCACTACACAAATGCGTATGCCAGACTAGATCTATATCCAACGTCGGAACGAGCATAACGCCGGGATGAAGACGAAATAAGTCGACGAAGTTGTTGTAGCGTTTTCGAGCAGTTTCTAGTATGTCTTCGGCATCAGGATAAGAGATCCATAGACAGTCGTGCATCTGGTCGATGAAGTTCATTTGGCGGAGGACGTTGTGTAAAAGGGCTTCGTTTTCGGGGGATATTGATGGATGTTTTTCTTGGTTTGGTTGGTCTGGTGTGGACTGGGCTCTGCTAATGGTGTCTGTGAGACTGACAAGAGGGTCTGTTGTTATGTTTGCTGTAGATTCGAGCCATTGTTTGTTTGGGCTGGGGAGGGTATAGGACCAGTTGGTTGGGTTGATGCAGTCGTGCTGCAATGCAATAGTTGATTAGTATGTTGGTAGTCCTGTTCGATCCATGGTGCAAACCTACTATAACAACCCATGGCAAAGGCACTTCCTGAATTCGATCAAGCTGACGGCTTGTACAGAATTCCTTGTAATCGGATGGATTGAGCAAAAATGCGTGCCAGACCATGAGTATGTCTGGCAGTTTCAGTAAGTGGATACGCCCGTTATGGTCGACAGTGAAACTTACCAACAGGGGGAAGTATAAGTGTTGCATTGTTTCCATCACGCTCAAGCTGCTTCTCCGCAGCACGGATCCAGACCTGGAATCTCTCAACTGCAACAGACACAAACCGATGCCACTTTTCCGTCCTCTGTGTTTCCCTACGATGTTTCGATATCCATGAACGGCTTGAATCGAGACGGAATACGCGGTCTAACTCCTTCGACTGGATGATCTGGATACGCAGGTTACGGAATACTTCGAGCAGTTCGAGATGGACGGCACATTCCCCGATCGCTGGGAGGTCCGAGATACCTCTTTGAGTATCATTTGATGCGGTACCTAAGGTCTTGAATAAGTCTGGACGAGGGATTGAGGTATTTTGGGTTGTTTCTTTGAAAGGACGGCGGAGGAACAAGGGGAAACGTCGCTGGCGATGGGCCATCGTGCTAACAAGATCTGCAGTAATATCTATCAGGTTGTCCTGATGATGGACTCATTTAATTTGGGTTCTGGTTCGGTCTATATATCTGGTCTTCTGACAGCCTTGTCTTCTACGAAGGCTACTTGACATCAGCCTTACAGGCTGAGCAAAGCTAAACGGTGAATGATGCCCTCATGACTATCGAGTGACGAGATCGTGTCCAGTCAGAGGGTATCATCAAAGAAATGGCTTGCAGGCAGTGCAATGGCAGCCTTCCCATTTGCGAATACTCAAGGCTCAGCATACAGCTCGTGTTCGAGACCTTACTCAAGCCAACCTAAACTGGTGTGTCTTGGCTATCAACCATCATGTAGTTTGCAGTGGACTTAATCGGCCTACTGTCTACTCTGCGAACTATTGTTTTGATACGCTGAAACCTTTTTAGTGAAATACTACGGACTATTAAGCTTAACAAGCACGCAATCTAACTGTTCGGCAAGTCAGCGTCCGTCGCGGAGCTTCTGTTAAAGATTGATCCCCGCCAAGACGCCGCTTCTCCTTCGTTCGGCACTAGAATTCCGCCAACCGACTATCTATGGATGCCTCAGACGCAGATATTTGTCTCCGGTTCGAAGAGGGGCTCTGGATCATGACAAGCATCCGGTGACGCAGCTGGAGGAGTTGCCAAGCAGAGATTGCGTTGCTTCTTAGGGGGAAAGAGGGAAGGGATCGGCGGAGAGAGCGAAAAGGTCACGGAGGGAGACAGCGCTCTCGATCGGACTGAAAGGTCCAGCATTGACAAGATTGCATTACCTGGGAGGTTATTGGTCTCGTGTGTGCAGTTCGTCTGTCAGCGAGAATGGCAGGGTCTGCTAATCATAGCCGCCGGAATTGGGGGAAGATTGTTATCGAGAAAGCGATCAGTGGATCAACTCCGGGGCCGAAATCGTCAGCGCATGTCGGCATCGCCTCAGCCGGGGATTCGACCGACAAGCCATGACGGAGTGACTCGCAATGACAATCAGGCTTTCCGGCTACTCCTCATCTCTTCAAACAATCCACTGCACCACCATGGAGCTGCTGTTTCAGTCCGGGCTCCTCTCCGTGTATTTGCAACCCAAAATAATATAATTGCAGCAGAACCTGGTCCATTAGACAAGCCACTACGAGGATGCTGACGCAGCCCTTGTGGTGCAGGGCCCATCCTCCGCTATCACGGCCGGCCTGTGCCTTTGGGAGACGATCCGGCATTGTTCTTCTCCCCAGGGCTCTTCAGCTGCGAGTCTCGTCCTCGTCCTCGCTCTCGCGTCTGCGCCATAAGAACCCTAGTGTCTCCTCCTCTCATTCTCCAGTTGTCTCCTCATCCAATGCTTTACTCTGTCCCGTCACACGTCCGACTCTAGTCCCTTCCATCGCCGCAGCCACCTCCGCTACCTCCGTTACCCTACCTCCAATGACCACCCAATCCAGAGACCACGGTGGCCACCATGGCCACCACCACCACCATCACCATCACGGAAACGTCTACCTTACCTCTACCGACAAACATGATGCTGGTGTGCGAATTACGCGACTTGGCCTACTCGCTAACCTCGCCATGGCCATCGGGAAGTTCATCGGCGGCTACGTGTTCCATTCCCAAGCTCTCATCGCCGACGCCTACCACGCCCTTACCGATCTAGTTTCCGATTTCCTGACATTAGGCACGGTCGCCTGGTCGCTCAAGCCGCCGAGCGAGCGATTCCCTAATGGTTATGGCAAGATCGAAAGCATCGGAGCCTTAGGGGTTAGCGGGCTGTTGCTCTGCGGAGGTGTGTTCATGGGCCTCAATTCCGGCCAAGTTCTGCTGGATCAGTTCTACCCCCAGGCTGCGGAGGCGATCGCGCATGTAGGCGCCCTGGGCCACGGTCACTCGCATAGCCACGGCGTTGAGGCAATGGGCCCGAGCATTCATGCCGCATGGCTTGCTGCGGGGTCCATCGTGGTGAAGGAGTGGTTATATCATGCTAGTAAGTACCCTGAGGAATTTCTGCCCTAACACTAACTAAGATGGCTAACTGCTCCTTTCCCCGACAGCGATGAAAGTTGCTACGGAACGCAAGTCCTCGGTACTAGCCTCTAACGCCATCCACCACCGCATCGACTCCCTGACCAGCATCGTCGCTCTCTTTACGATTGGCGGCACCTATCTCTTCCAAGACGCATCCTGGCTGGACCCTGTGGGTGGACTTTTGATTTCGCTGATGGTCATCAAGGCCGGATGGGGAAACACCAAGACGTCGCTGCTGGAGCTCGCTGATACGAACGTTGACGATGACATCAAGGAATCGGTACAAAAAGCCGCGGCTAAGATGCTGGCGAAATTGGAGGGTGGCGATGCCATCAAGGTCCGTGATGTGCAGGGCATGAAGTCCGGACAGAACTATCTGATGGATGTGGAGATCGCCGTGCCAGGCGCATGGTCTGTCAGTCGAACCCGCCAGGTCGAGGAGTCCATCCGCACTGCGGTCGGGGAAGGCGTGCGTGGAGTCAAGCGTCTCAAAGTTCGGTTTATCCCCTTGGAGCACGAGGAGCTGACTTTCACGGAGGAATTCATCCCTGCGGATGTCACTTCTCGTGCGCGTCCTGAGCCAGAGGATGGCGAGGAGGATGAGCATGACCATGACCATGACCATGACCATGAACCCCGCAAAACCCGCTAAGGGTCAGGTTCTGTCCCTATGAATAGCATGGATAGGCATTTCAGATCTGTCCGCTCCATGTGTCAGTTGTTCGCTAGCGTTCTGCACCCCCAATTCGATGATACCCGAGGATGGATAGTGGGGGGACATCCAACATCCCGTCTGCTGCCGTGGAGTACTAGCCAGTTGGATAGAATAGAGGATTGATAGGCGATCCCGGGTGGAAGTAGAGAGGGAGACAATGAGTGGGATTTTGGAATCAAAATAGAAGGGATTGTATTATCTATGATAACTGTATCTATTGGGTCTGGATGAATGTACCAGAGCGCACTGAACTCGATCCCATGAGGCGATCCGCGGGATCTTCACTTTAGCCGCAGGTCTTAGTCAGTTGGTCGTAGTCCAGCATTAGTCTAACTTTTCCCTGTAAAGGATCCTAGAGAAAAAGTCTGCAGAAGGGACTTTTGGGCTGACTCTGAGGATCTAGACCCACGATGGCGGTCATTCAGCACAATCACTTGAGTCCAAAGTGGCCTCCCTTCCTCTCACTAGTAATTAACCGGGTAAATTCCCGGCGGCGGTGGGGGGTAGCAGGTTAAATCAATATCTTCTTATCGTGAACCCCACGCGTACCAAAAAGCACAAGAAGAATGAGAATCACTCAGTAAGCAGCGCCCACGTCGGTAAAAAAGACGAGGTCGGGCACGATCAGTCATGGGATCTGCTCTCTGGCACGCCGACATGCCAATTGCCTTCCTGTTGGTCGGATTTTGCCGACCAGCTGCCAGGCTGGCGGGAGCTCAAGGGATAAATCATCCATCGGTGTGTTAACTTCATTGCGTTTGCAATTGTTCTCTTTTCCACCCCTCTCTTCTTTCATTAGCTTCACGTAAAATCATACTGGCTTTCTAGAATTTGATTCTTTTGGATTCTTCCATTTCAATTGAGACCTCTCCACTCTATCTTATCTCTTCTTCCCTCCCTTCCGTTGAATTGCCATCCCACTTCCACCCATACGTCATCATCCCCCCGGGCCGCACTCACCATGCAAGGTCCTCTATACATCGGCTTCGACCTCTCCACCCAACAACTCAAGGGTCTCGTCGTCAATTCCGACCTCAAGGTCGTCTATGTCTCCAAATTTGACTTCGACGCCGACTCCCGCGGCTTTCCCATCAAGAAGGGTGTCCTCACCAACGAAGCCGAACATGAGGTCTTTGCCCCCGTGGCCCTGTGGCTGCAGGCCCTGGATGGCGTCCTAGAAGGGCTGCGTAAACAAGGCTTGGACTTTAGCCAGATCAAGGGCATCAGTGGTGCGGGACAGCAACATGGAAGTGTATACTGGGGAGAAAACGCAGAGAAGCTGTTGAAGGGATTGGATGCAAGCAAGACGCTTGAGGAGCAGTTGGACGGGGCTTTCTCGCACCCGTTCAGTCCTAACTGGCAGGACTCGAGCACTCAGAAGGAGTGTGATGAGTTTGATGCCGCCCTGGGTGGCCAGAGCGAGCTGGCCTTGGCCACGGGAAGCAAGGCACACCATGTGAGTATCCACCCCCGCAATAGTCTACATGAGTGTAGAGGGGTTTGGCAATTGCTAATTGTTAGTAGAGATTCACAGGTCCGCAGATTATGCGTTTCCAGAGGAAATACCCTGATGTGTACAAGAAGACGTCGCGGATTTCGCTGGTATCCTCGTTCATTGCGTCCCTTTTCTTGGGTCACATTGCACCGATGGACATCTCCGATGTCTGCGGCATGAACCTTTGGAATATCAAGAAGGGTGCCTATGATGAGAAGCTTCTACAGCTCTGCGCCGGCTCATCTGGCGTTGATGACCTGAAACGCAAGCTGGGCGAGGTTTTCGAAGATGGAGGCATCCATCTCGGCCCCATTGATCGGTACTACGTTGAACGCTACGGCTTCAGCCCCGACTGTACGATCATCCCCGCCACTGGTGACAACCCTGCCACCATCCTTGCTCTGCCCCTACGAGCCTCCGACGCTATGGTATCTCTGGGCACTTCGACCACCTTCCTCATGTCCACACCCAGCTACAAGCCTGACCCGGCAACCCATTTCTTCAACCACCCCACCACTGCGGGTCTATACATGTTCATGCTTTGTTATAAGAACGGTGGACTGGCCCGCGAGTTGGTCCGGGATGCAGTTAACGAGAAACTCGGCGAGAAGCCTTCTACTTCATGGGCCAACTTCGACAAAATCACACTGGAGACTCCGCCCATGGGCCAAAAGGCTGACTCTGACCCAATGAAGCTGGGTCTATTTTTCCCTCGTCCAGAGATTGTGCCAAACCTGCGCTCGGGTCAGTGGCGCTTCGATTACAACCCAAAGGACGGCAGCCTGCAGCCCTCGAATGGCGGCTGGGATACTCTTGACGAGGCTCGCGCCATTCTCGAGAGCCAGATGCTGTCATTGCGTCTGCGGTCTCGTGGCCTTACCCAGAGCCCTGGTGAGGGCATCCCCGCGCAACCACGTCGGGTGTACCTGGTTGGCGGTGGATCGAAGAACAAGGCCATTGCTAAAGTGGCTGGAGAGATCTTGGGTGGTAGTGAGGGAGTGTATAAGCTGGAGATTGGTGATAACGCCTGTGCGCTGGGTGCAGCGTATAAGGCGGTTTGGGCCATGGAGCGAGCTGAGGGACAGACTTTCGAAGACTTGATTGGAAAACGGTGGCATGAGGAGGAGTTCATCGAAAAGATCGCGGATGGTTACCAGCCGGGAGTGTTTGAGCGCTACGGCCAGGCTGTAGAGGGCTTTGAGAAAATGGAGAAAGAGGTGTTGCGCCAGGAAGGGAAGCACTGAGCGCGAGGATGAAGCTGAGTGGGATATGGACCGCTTAAACTAATAATGGTAGAGTTATGATTTGCAATGCAATGCAATGGTGTCGAGCGATCAGTAAACAAGGCATATAGTTGGGTAGACATAAGGGTAACTATATCTGAAATTATGCCTGAATTGTCAGGCAGCAACGGCACGCCGCCCGTTGCCATTTTGGGGCGGAACAGCGGCCACACAAACTCAGGCACGAAAGATTTCTTTCGTCGTTTTCTTTTTTGTTCCCTTCCGGCGGCACGTCATCGGCACGAGAGCATTCACGGTTTTCTTGAAAATCACAGTCTACAAGCCCCTTTGCTGACGAGCTATTGTACAACTCGTCCGGTGAGCAGAATTTGCGGTTTCTCGCTTCCCCAGGTGACTGGGTCTGACGCCGAAGAAAGAATCCACTTGCTCCAACGCACTAGTGATGGCTCAATAGGCTGGCCTCTGCGACTAGTTCTGTTCTGCTATGACTCTCCGCCGCCATCTGCATTTTGACCGAACAACCACCTCCATCGTTCCTTGATCCCTCCCCCTCACCCTCATTGCTTTCCGAGTCCTGCGACTCTGAAGGCAGCCCGGCTGGTCGAAAATGGAAGAGCAGGTAAGCTGCAGTCCCTAGTCTATACATTGACCCTATTTTGGTCTTTGTCTTCGTTTACCTTTGCTCGCTTTTTTTCTTTTTCTGTTCAGCCCACACCCCACCACCGATCTCTCTTCCCCTCCATCCTACCCCCCCTCCCCTTCCTTATATCCCCTCTCCCCCCTCTCATATTTCCCCTCATTCCCATGTCTCCCCCTCCGTCGACCTCTCGTTGACCCTCCCCCGTGTAGGTAGCAAATGCCATTGAAATCGCCGGGAACCCAACCTCCGACCAAACTCTCAAGGCTCAGGCCTTCGACTACCTGAACCAACTCCGCACCGACCCCTCCGGATGGCAGGTCTGCCTTACCCTTTTCACTAAGACCCCGCAATACTCCGAAATCATACGGCATGTGGCGTTGGAAGTGGTCAACAGTGCGGCCCAGGCGGGTTTCATTGACCCCCAGGCGTTGGGCTATGTCCGGGACGGCCTGATGGCCTATCTCCGCCAGGTGTACGGTCAGGACAACGTTACCCCCGATCCGACCAGTATCCAAAACAAGATCGCCCAGACCATCACCTTCCTCTTCTCAGCCCTCTACGGCAATGGCTGGGAGACTTTCTTTGACGACCTTCTCAGCCTCACATACAAGAGTTCGGCCAGCACGAGTCACGACAACCCGCTCGGAATTGTCTTCTACCTGCGTGTCATCAATGCGATCCATGAGGAGATTGGTGACGTGCTTGTGTCTCGGTCCCGCACCGAGCAGGACAAGGCCAACCTGCTCAAGGATTTGATTCGCTCGCGCGACATGCAGAAGATTGCCAACTCGTGGCAGCAGATCTTGTCTGAATGGCGGGACGGAAATGATACGATCGTCGAGATGTCCCTGAGAGCGGTCGGCAGCTGGGTCAGCTGGATCGATATCGGCCTTGTGGTGAACCAGACCATGCTGGACCTTCTGTTCCAGCAGCTCGGCCGGGCGCAGAAGGCGGAGCTCCGAGAAGGAGAAGAGAAGGTGCGCGATGCCGCGGTTGACGTCTTCACGGAAATTATCGGCAAGAAGATGAAGCCAGAAGATAAGATGGATATGATTATTTTCCTCAATCTCGACACTATTGTTACTCAGCTCTCGAACAGCCCCCCTCTTCATGATAACAGGTTTACCTTCAAGTACGATACGGACCTGGCGGAAACGGTGGCCAAGTTAGTCAACATTACCGTCATTGATATTGTACGGGCTTTGGAGCAGGACACCGTCACGGCCGAGTGCAATGCCAAAGCCACCGGTCTGCTGCAGGCCTTCTTGCCGCATATCCTGAGATACTTCTCCGATGAGTACGATGAAGTCTGCTCGACTGTGATCCCCTGCGTGAGCGACCTCCTGTCCTATCTGCGGAAGATCGCCAAGGTCAACCCTGCCCTGGCCGAACAACATTCATCCATCCTGCTTCCCATTCTGAAAGCCATCATCGCCAAGATGCGCTACGATGAGACCTCATCCTGGGGCGACGAAGACGATCAGACAGACGAGGCAGAATTCCAGGAACTTCGGAAGCGCCTGGGCGTGCTGCAGCAGATCGTCGCAAGCGTCAACGAGCAGCTCTGCATGGAGGCTGTCTCGGAGGTTGTGGGAAACACATTCGAGAGCTTGCGTCAATCGGGAGCTCAGCTCGACTGGCGGGACTTGGACCTGGCTCTCCACGAGATGTTCCTGTTCGGCGAGGTTGCCGTTAGGGCAGGCAGCTTGTACAACAAGGGAGTTCCTAACAACGCGGCCGCGGAGAGGTTGGTTGGTATGATGTTGAAGATGGTCGAGTCAGACATCCGGTCTTTCACCCACCCAGCCACCCAGTTGCAGTACATGGAGATCTGTGTTCGCTACAGCTCCTTCTTCCAGTATCACACCCATCTGATTCCGACCGTGCTGGAGAGCTTCCTCCAACTTGTTCATCACCCGGTCAAGAAGGTGAAGACACGGTCATGGTACCTTTTCCAGCGCTTGGTGAAGCAACTTAGAACCCATGTTGGAAATGTGGCGCAGACCGTCGTCGAGGCGTTGGGCGACTTGCTCGTGATCAACGCTGAGTTGCCGACTGAAGGCTCGGATGGAGATGAGATGTCCTCAGAGGACCACGAGGGGTCGGCTGATGCTGTCTTTAACAGCCAGCTGTACCTGTTCGAGGCTGTGGGCATCATCTGCTCCACCCCGACTGTTCCCGCTGACAAGCAGGTCCTCTACGCACAGTCTGTGTTGAACCCCGTCTTCATGGATATGGAGAAGAACCTGACCCCGGCTAAGGCCAATGATGAGCGGGCTTTACTGCAGATACACCACGATATCATGGCACTGGGTACGCTTGCCAGAGGCTTCTCCGACTGGATGCCGGGAACCAGCTCACCCGCTTCGTTGCCTGCACCTGAAGTCTCGGAGGCATTCATGCAGGTCTCCGAGGCTACTCTCGTCGCGCTGGAGTCGCTGAAGACATCCTTCAATGTCAGAACAGCTGCTCGGTTTGCATTCTCGCGCCTTATTGGCGTTCTGGGATCCCGCATCCTGCCCCAGCTGCCGCGGTGGATTGACGGTCTGCTCACACAGACGTCCTCCCGGGATGAGATGGCTCTGTTCCTGCGACTGCTGGATCAAGTCATCTTCGGTTTCAAGGCGGAGATCTACTCTATCCTAGATGCGCTGTTGACTCCATTCCTGCAGCGGGTGTTCTCTGGCATTGCAGACGCCCCGACCGGCACTGATGACGAGGTCCAGCTGGCTGAGCTGAAGCGGGAATACCTCAACTTCCTGCTGGCGGTCCTGAACAACGAGCTTGGAGCCGTTATCATTAGCGAGCGTAAGTATTATTGACTTTGATACTAGAATTAAAACTGACGACACTAGGGAACCAACCCATGTTCGAAACGGTCATCGGTACTATCGAGCATTTCGCCAAGGACATTGAGGACTTCACTACTGCTAAGATGGCGTTCTCGGTCCTTTCGAAGATGGGCAGCTCGTGGGGCGGGCCCGACATTGCGCCGGAGGGTGCGAATGGCGCGGCAGCCCAGCAACAAGCACTGCCAGGATTTGGTCAGTTCATGATCACCCGGTTGTCACCTCTGTGCTGGGCGCTGCCCGCAACCCCGTCCTTCAACTCGAAGGATGCGCAGGCCAAGCAGGTCCTCGCCGAAGCAGGAGGCCTGCAGCGCACGATATACGCCAAGACGGGCATGGAGTACCTCCAGTACTTGCGGGATCGCGAGTTGCCAGGAATGGGAATGGGAGCGGACTTGGTGGAGGAGTTTGTGGGAGCATTGGGCCGACTGGACATGAAGGGATTCCGGCAGTTCTTCCCGGTATGTGATCCTAACCATATATCCAACGCTTCAACTTTGCTAACAGTCTCGACAGTCCTTTATCCAGCGATTGAGCGCATGATGTTGTGGTCTTTTCCATCTTATCTTAACATTTTTATTTGTTTTTACCCACCCAATCATTTGTTTCAGTCCTAGATTCCCCCACGGTTTGGTTTGATGACTGATGTTCTCATGTGACCATTTACAAAACATTCACCCACATACACACTGAAGCTCTTATCGCCGACACCCACACACATATCCTTCCTGTCCTCTATCTCTCTATCCATATGTCCCTCTGTCTGCTTTCCATTCTGCTTGAACTATTTGTCTGCGGCTTTTGTCTGTTTCGGAATTAAGGATGATCAAAAAAAAAGGTATATAGTGTTTCTTTTCCCCTTCTTGCACCTTTTCCTATATCCATTTTGGCATGGCATTTTATATTGCATGAGCAGGCGTTTTCAGACCCAGGCTCCCAAGTCCGTTTGCGTGCCTGTATGCTGCTTTGCTTTGCTTGCTCTCCATTGCTTTGTTAAGGGTGGGTTGCTGGTTGGTTGGTGGGCTGGCTAGATCGTTATCAAGTACCTAGAAAGTTAGTTCGAATGATTTGGTTTGTTAAAAGCGGGTGAGGGGGTGGGTTGGTGGAAGTAGGTAGGTAGGTAGGTAGGTAGAAGAGAACAAAGGTTATCAGGATAGATAGATGTATGTTTGGTCTGATTGATTGTAGAGTATCCTATCAACCTAATCTCAATGGCATAGCTAGTAGATAGTATCTCAGTGCTACCTCCTACTCAAATCAACCCCTTGAAGACCTGAACCAATTTATCCTGCATATCACAGAAGATATTCACAGCCTAGACAGCAGTATAAACCCATTAGCAGCAACATCAACAGCAACAACCCAACCAAACAATAAAAAAAGTCCTAACCGAACTCACCTGAGTCAGTTTCTCCTCACTCAACCCATTCGCATCCCTCGTAAACGCAATCCGATACGCCGCCTCATCACCCACATACGACACCTCCTTCCCAGGCACAGCCCCCTGCACCACCGCAGGAGAATCAAACAACGATTCGACAGGTACCTTCCCCTCCAACGGCAGCTTCACCAACTCCTCCAACAACCCAGGAGCAATCGTAATATGCTGCACCCCCGCCAAGGCGAAGATCTCGTTCGTGGATGTCAAACTAGCGGGTAATACCTGTGTTTGGGATCCGATGGAGGCGTAGTATTTCTGGACTAGGGCGCTGAAGTGTAGGAGGGGGGAGGGGTCTTTGAAGCTGTGGTTGATTCTTGTCAGTACTGGATATAGTTGTGTGGATTTATGGGGGAGGGGTGTAATAGGGAGGTGTATACCCCGGCTCGAAATGAACTCGCAGTTGGTTCACGTATGGTGCTATGTACGTGCATCCTACTTCTGCTGCTAGGATGGCTTGAGGCATGGTGAAGAGGGTGGTGGCTAGGGTTCGTACCCCGGCTTGTTCGAGGACTTGGCATGCTTTGAGACCTTCCCAGGTGCTGGGGATTTTGATGCAGATGCGGGATTGGGGGTGGGTGGGGGAGAGGTGGTGGGTTAGTTTAACTATACCTGTTTGTGGTTTGGGGGTGGGGTTAGTGGTGGTCCAGTTGTTCTATTGTGTGTATGTAGAGGGGATGGATGATTGGATGGACGTACGGAGGGCGTTGACGATGGTCTTTTCGGTGGAGTAGGAGTAGTAGGGGTTTGTTTGGATGTGGATGTGGCCGGTGATGTGGGGGGCGATTCTTAGGGAGAGGGATATCATCTAAACCCATTTAGTATATATACTTCAGTTTGTGGTGAGTTGATAGTGTGGGGAAGGAGCAGGGAAGGCTACGCACTGCTATTTCGATGGCGAGTTCTTCGATGGTTAGACCGGGGTATTCTTGGATGAGAGCTTTGGCTTTGGTGAGAGAGGATTGGAGAAGCTCGGCATGTTCGGGCTTAGTGAGCTCGTTGTAGGCTATTGCCTATGGTGTTGTTAGCTGAGTGGTAAGGATGGGATGAATGCAGTAAATTGTAGGTGTATACCTGGTTGGAGGTGCAGTCGTGAAAGGGACCAAGGGTTCTGGCAACTGTGCTTTTATGTTAGTAGATGGTAAGAGGTGCATGGAACTAAGTACGTGCCTTGCTCGTCCATGGTGTCGCAGTCGACAATGGAGCGAGAGCGGATGTAGTCGAGGCCAGTTTGGATAGTCATGGTGGTTGCTGTACTGTCTGATGGAGGAGTATTGACTGGTGATTTGGATGATGAAGCTATGATATCTTGGTATTGGGGAGTTGAAGTGATCTATTGAAATACGAAGTAAATGGGTTGAGCAAGGAGGAGAGGAGGGGAAGATCAGATAAGCATGCCTCGTAAACCTCCCCTCATGCCATCTCATAGGTTTAGCCTAAATGGTTGCTTTAATACTATCTATTCCTTGAACGCTTTCGGGCCGAGAGTCTCTTTTCTCCGACCAAGAAGGTCGGAGGGTTGGTCGGGAGAGAATACCGATGTCTACGGAGCATGTCCGTAGGATACATCATTGGTTAGCCTCCTGTCATGTTGAGTAAGGCTAGGTTAAGCTCCGGAAGAGACATATTGATCGGCACTTGTCAGTCAAGTACTACAAAAGGTACACAGGTGATGAGATGAATATGTTCCTAGAACTACATGGTTTGCGAGCATATCGATCGCCATCGAGGGGTACTTGCAAACTGATGATAGTCGGTTGTAGCTAGTCATTGAGTATAGATCATAGTTGATAACTGTAGGAGCACAACTCGTTATTTCTCTTGTCCATACAACGCTCCAATAGTTCCTAGAGCCTGAGAAATGCACGATCATTACTGCTGCATGCTCCAAACAATAACATGGGTTCCAATGTAGAAGAGTAGACTAATAGTTGTGGTTATCAGAGTTTAGAGTGCCACAATCACTATTGCTGCGGGACTCTCCCCGCACTTGCCCCGGCTTTGAAACTTCTTGCATGCTACTTGGGGCTTGGTTACTGGATAGTAACTGAAAGTTCAGTTTAATAGGACGAGCATCGACTATGACTACGAGGCAAGCGCTCGTAATATTACAATGAGATAGATCAACTGCCATCATGTTAATGCGGACCCAAGGAATGGTACATTTTCTTTGTAGGATTCTTCCCGGAACTTTAAACTTGATATATATCAGACATCTCTCTTGGTTACTAGTGGTCTGAACATCAGGCCTCTTGTGGAGAAGACATTTGATAAGCTCAATGACTAGTAGTGACAATAACAGGATCATGAGATCGAAAGTTTCTGTATATTGAGCGTAATAGAATTCGCGGGTTGCTGTGATGAGCTTATGGATGGGCCTACTGAGCACCATGGCCTTCAGATTGACTGGCCTTTCCTCGCTTATCAGATGAGCTCTCCCACTAATTGCAGAGCTTTCGTCTGGCCGGCCTTATTCTGCATTCGCACCACACCGCAGTAATATTTGGGTGTCTGCATTGATAACAGAAGCTGAGGGCTTGACAGAATCAAGCCGAGACAGCAGCAGCAGTCACTGACAAGCAATGTAGCAAGTACATGACCGTTCAGGAGTGATATCGAACCCCTGTCGTCTAAGCGGAAGACCTCCCAGAATCTCAGCGACAGCGCCCATGTTTCAACCGAATTATAGCTTTGATGCTTGCTCTACACGAGGCCTGAAAGGCTAGTTCTACGCGAATTCGTAGCGAATCCTACAGTCATGTGACCCTGATATGAAACCCTTCCATCTCATAGGACAGAGAAGAATGGGCGATTAACGACGGGACAGCTCCTTCTCAGGTATCTCATTTGACCTCGGCGGTCACGACAGAATGCCGAACCAGTGAGGCCCTGCTAAGCACGTCGACATCATCCCGAATGGTAGACAACGTGGGCGGAGACCCTTGGGAGAGAAGAAAAAGAAGAAGAGGAAGAGAAAGCGACGGGAGAAATACACAAAAGTCGAAAAGCCGGAACTAGCGGGCGGTGAGGAGATGGAAGATGGATCTTCCGAGTGGTAATGCAGGACTGTTGATTGGCTGATTTTGGGGCATCGGGTGAAGTCCCGTGACTGGGAGGTGAACCCGAGGTTGTCCGTCCCGTGATTCCGAAGCGTTACGAGCGAGTCGGCAGTTCGAGGCTACTTTCTTCTTGGACGACTACGACGACGACGGTCAGCTTCGTGTGCCCGAATCAGCCTCTCACCATTTCTTGAGGTTATCAATTTCATCATGCTCTCTCAGAAGGTTGCTCAGCAATCGCTGCGGCGGCGTACGTACTTACTTCATCCTCTTCAGTTAATCGCGCGACACTGACCTCAATGTTGCAGTTGCCGTCCAGCAGCCCTACGCCCTGCGTTGGTCTCTGATGAACTCGGTCTCTCCGGCTGCTGTTGCTCTCGGAAGAGCCGTTCAGACTAGGTGAGCTACTATGCGTGATTGGGATTCTCAGATGCGACTTTCGACTTGTGAGGGGTTCGCGATATCGAATTCGACGTCATGAAGCGAATATCGCTAAGTGGAGGCGGAACATGGATTGCTAACGTTGTCATGCAGACACGCTGCTACCTCCTCCAACTCCTCCGACCCTACCAAGCTCCTCGCCCAGCAGCGTCTCAACCGCCCCGTCTCTCCCCACCTTTCCATCTACCGTCCCCAGATCACATGGATCGGCAGTAGTATCCACCGTATCACCGGTATTGCGCTGTCCGGAAGTCTCTACCTCTATGCCTCTGCCTACCTCGCCTCTCCCATGCTCGGTTGGGACCTGGGCTCTGCCTCCGCTGCCGCCGCGTTCGCCGCTCTCCCTGTTGTCGCCAAGGTTGCCCTGAAGACTACCATGGCCCTGCCTTTCACCTACCACTGCATGAACGGAGTGCGCCACTTGATTTGGGATACTGGTGCTGGTCTTACCAACGCCCAGGTCATCAAGTCCGGCTGGACTGTGGTGGGTCTGAGTACTCTTAGCGCTCTCATTCTTGCTTTCCTGTGAACTATTGTGACATACCTCTGATTCCTGTTGTGTTTTAAAATTGTTTTCGTGCAATATATTTTATACCAGTCAATTGACGACTGTTTTTGGATTAAACTTTACATCTTCTCACCCTGAACTTTGAGCTCCGTCTCATCTGTTCAAGCCGTGGAATTTGTCGGCATGTAGGAGATATTTGAAAGAAAGACTAATGCCTTAGCCGTGACCCCCTACAGCCGCCTGGAGGGAAGGCGAAGCGATGGCCTTGATTCCACGGAAGGTACTTGTCGATAGGTATGTCCTAAAGCCATGAGGTTGGAGATCTACGCAATCCTAGGTCATGACTGCTATGGCTCTCATGCAGAAACTGGCCGTGTCGTTGTCTAGTGTGCATTCTACTCCGTGAACTCCTCAAATGATAGGACAAAAATAAAAAGCAATCCGCCACGCCTCTATGTCCGTTTCCCCCATGACTTAGGTTTGAGAGCCTGGCAGTTGACAATTCTCATGGATATTCTCCCTTTCTTGCCTTCGCCTCTTGATGATGTCAAGATTTTGATTCAATGGTGCACTGCAAATTTCATTCCCTTCCCATCACGTTCTATTGCAGATTTGTCAGAACGTACTCAACATCGCGGGGTAGGTTGTTGCTTATAAACTTACCTTCTCTACTAATTTGTGCTGTCCTTCGAAAAGAACCAGTCTTGAACAATCGATGATCATGCAGGGCTCGGGGGCGGATTAGGAGGTATAGGGCCTGGCGAGGGTGGATCATGCACGGAATAGGGAATTAGTGCGACATCCTCGCAGCTACTCCAGATCGGCAGAGGGATGTCCTCAAGTATGAAATCGAAATGGGCGCGATACATGACGCAATATCTTCGATTGGAGGTCAATTGACAAGACAGTTTCAGCAGCGGCTAATCTGATAAAGGTATCAGGTGGTGCAGTTGTGTGACTATAAGTCTGAAGGATTTGGTGATATGCCGCAAGATCAATGAAGGAGCAGAAGACAACGGGGTAGGATATGAGCTGTTTCTCTTGGTGTGAGTTGGCTAACATCCCGCATTAAATACTAGCCCCAGAACCCAGCACTGGGTCCGAAGGATGCCTCTGAGTTGTACACCGCCATACCGATCAACGTCCTACCAGCAGTGAGGAACCGCGTGGATATGACACTTCCGATAGTCTAACGGTGATCTTCATGGCTATCGCCGGATCTCGATGGGATTTTTGCCGTTTCTGCAAGGGCCCGACGGATGTTTGGTGGTATGTAATGTTAAACAGCGTACTCTTCGTTGTATGTTTCGACCAATTGCCCCATATTTTGCCTCCTTGAGCACGAACTGACAAAATTTAGTGAATAGCGTGATCTTACAGAAGACATGTTTCTTGCTGGTCACCCGACGGCTGGAGACTCCGGGCTGCAATCCCGGAGCATACGGAAGACTAAAACTTCACGCTCCACTACATTCGATACCGGATGCAGGAATTCTATGCCCGGACTTTCATGATCTACTGTACCCCACTAAACTTGTTAAACGGGAGCTGCCACCTGCCGAATCTCATTACTGCAATCCTCTGTTGGGTAATCTTATCCGTCATAGTCTACAGTGTTATTCATTGCCGCTCTGGTTCCAAGTACCTTGGGAGATCATGGATAGTTGTTTGATAGTGCATCGTGAAGACCAAGCAGCATTATCTGCTGATATCCGAGTCCGAGGATACTATTGTTTGGTGCAAATGATCAAGTGCGGGGGCCATCCGTCCAAACAAATATACTGACACACTGGACTACTCAGCTGATAAAGCCGGTGTACTGAGAACAAACAGGACATAAGTGTCGACATTGTTCAGATTACATGTTTCGCCCGCCCCTCGATCATTCCTACTTTGCTCTTGTTCCCCAGTAACCATTCTGGGTCATTCAGCCAGTTTATCCCGAACGATAGCCGGGGCTGGCGAGCTGAAAAGGTCCTTAAACGAGCGGTCAACAAATGAGATAGAGTGGTAGCCAGCAAAGATACGGAAGAGTCCAGATTATGGAACTGGAATACAAGGCACACTGCAGTAAGCACGTGGATTAATTTCTGAGCCTTGTGCCACTCCAAGAATGTTGAAGATTCAGGAAAGCGGGGGAGTAGCCCTGTTTGTTGCAGGGACTGCATTGGACTGCCTCCCCGCGGCAAGCAGTGCGTCGAATCGGATGCGCAATGTATTTCTGCCGACGACCGCAAAGCGACGCACTGAGGCACGATGCATTGCCTTGGTAACTGGCATCTTGCCGCAATTGACACGTACTATCCTTGCACAATGCCACTCTAGACACAATAGAAGGCTTGTGGTTAAACGCAGCAACAGGCTCGGTCCATCAAAAGAGTGAGCATAACTCTCTGAATCACCTTATTCGGAAAGATTCGAGAGCAAAGGGTCCCTCAACCCCATTTCGCATGAAAAAAGAAAAAAGAAGAGAAGAGAAAAACGTGCTGTGTTTGTTCTAATTCCAGCCCTATTCCAATGCGATGACCGCAGAATAAGGCACGGATGTCAGATGGTAAGTACATGGCCGGCTTGCGATGACCCTCATTGCCATGTTCCAGAGGTGCGATCCGTACCTCAATCTTATGCCATTTTATATTCATATGCCACCATGATACTGAAGCAATATAAGATGGTCACCCTCTGTCCTGATTTCGCCAATACAGTCTCATACTTCGACACTGTGTGGTGGCAACTGGGCTCATGGAACAACTGCCGAATGAAGCATGAGCTGATTCTACGCTCAGACATACCACAGTTTTGAGCGACATGATGCACACAATAATCGGGGAATGGCGGGACACGAGTGCTACAGCAATTGCACATAAGTACCATCGGCCGGTCTCTAGTGCTTGCATGTCACACATGCTGACAAGGATATGAAGGGAAACTAATTGCCGCTCAACGTTGCGGTGTAGAATTCCGCACCGCAGCTTATGGCCAGGTACCTACAGATCAGCGGCTCCTTTCTGAATAGAAGCATTATGGAAACTGTTAGTCATTTAGTACTTTTCTGGCTGGTTCCCGCGAGCTGTACAACGGGAGCCCAGACGGCAAATATGCTTTTGGCTGGCGCGCTTCCCGTGAGGTACGGCTTGTCCTCCAGCAGTCTTCTTCACTTAGTACTATGGTGCATCCTTGCCTTTTGCCTTACAGTGCATACTGTTGCTCTTGGGGAAGTCAATGCGGGAGTCAAGTTTGGCAGTTGGTGGCATGTATTTTTCCGTGTCTCCTCGCGACACTCGTCACCGACAGCTGATAGTTGGTCTTAAATGATATGTACAGTAGTTGCATGGGCCTCCCGTACAACAATTAGCCTACACATTACCACCAGTTCCAAGTTTTGTGAAGCGATATTCTGATTCTAGATCCATACCGCCGAGGTGTTGATGGCTCGAGCGCATCTGGATAGAATGGGGATGGGCCCCGAGTAGTAACTGGTAGGTAGGCAAAGGTGCGGTGCCTGATCATTGAAACACAATTAATGATACTGAAATAATCGTCATGAATCGAAATAGAGGTTGGTTCCATAGGGTGGCTCTCCATTGTTTGGAACTACAGATTTGGCGGGCGAGCCGGAGAACTGAGCGGCTATCCCGATCGGGACTAGCGCCACGTCTCCGAATTCTTCCTCCTCCAAAGGAATTATTATCATTGATGGCCGCCATCGATCGTGGAAAAAGACCCGGCCTGGCGACCTCCTCCCTCTCACCCACCACTCCGGATTCCGGCCCTTCCTCTACCCAATGGCTTCCGTACTATCGACTCGCGCGGTCAGGACCGCTTCCTGCTCCGCATGCCGCTCCCTCACTCGTCCCAACTCGATCGCAGCCGGTCTCCTTCCGCGGCGAGGACTCTCGACGGCCACCGAAGATGCAGCAGTCAACCATGCGGACAAGCCCCGGTGGTCGTACACGCCGCCTCGTGCCAAAGCGCCGTTCTCCTTGAGACTCAACTCCAACCGCCCCGAGTTCCCCGTGAACTCTGACCCCAAGGTTCTGGACCGGTTCTACATCCTCATGCTCGGAAACGACGGTGACAAGATGCTCTCGGAGGAGACCAAGTGGCTCGCAGTGACACACAAGAGTTTTGATCAGGGCCGGAGAGGTTTCAATGACCGTTTGGCCTTCCTGGGTATGTCAAATGTTGCTCTACGATGAATGGTAACAGGATTGGATACTAATCCGGATGGGGTTGTACACAGGCAAGCGTATTGTTCAGCTGCAGGCTTCGCTGGCTCTGGTCCAGAGTCCTAGCAACGCTGCTAACTCTGCCACCCCCGATGCGTATGGCCGGGTCCCCTTCACTCACCCGGCTTTGGATAGCCTGGACAACCTCGACTACAACACGAAGAGCTTCCTTACGAGCAAGACGAAGCTGTCGGAATTGGCTCACAAGTATGACATGCAGAGAGTTGTCAGATGGTGCCCTCGGAAGGTGAGTCTAGTAGTTCCATGCATTGAGACGATATTCGAACGCCTTGCGCTGCTGGGCTTCTGATATCGCCTCGCCAGTCGGTCAATTGAATCCCCTGCTAACAGCGGTGTGTTTACGTGTAGCCCAACAACCTCGAAAGCTCTGGAATGGACCTCGTTCTCGCCCACACGATGTACGCTGTGATCGGTGCCATCTCCCTGGAGAAGGGCAATGCTGTTGCGAACAAGGTGGCCCGTGAGCGCATATTAGCACCTCTGGGATTTAAGATCGCGGCTTGAGTTGGGTGATTGATTTATGGGAAATGGCCGCAGGTGCATTTTCAAGGCGTTACTTCCTTTTTCTCTTTTCCCCTTCCCCTTGTTTTCTTTGTGCCCTGGATGTTCTGTGTATGTGTTGGGGCTTTTCTTCATCCGCCATATATTATGTATTTTTATCTACGACTTGTCTTATATAGTGACTGCAAATACCACCGGAAGTTCTGTCTTCTCTCTTACATCTACTAACTACACTTGTGTATGGGATCTTGAGGATTCGGATCACATGGCATGCCATTATACTATTTTCTAACAAATAAAGTAGATATCCAAAAGTATGTACGGTTCCTCTGACACCGCCCGGGTAACAGTAAGCAAAATACCCGGCCAGCTCTTATGGAACCCTCGAATACACGATGCCTAGTCTTCGCACCTTTGTATCGCAAAGTCAGCAATGAGAAACCAGGAACTCCACGACAGAATGTCACGGAAGAACCCAGAAATCACAAAAAAGCAATTTGAGCTGCCTTGCACTGTCTAGGAAGGGCGTATGGTACAAAGAAAGAAAAGAAAAGAAGAGGAAGAGAATTCGCTTGCGACGGCCGAAATATATTCTGCGCGCGTGACCAGCGCTAGGCTTCATCAGGTCTAGTGGAGATCTGGACTGGCCGGATATCTCGAATAGGCTTAGCTCTCTGATTAGAGACCCCTGAGGCAATGATACACTTTAATACAACACTGTGACCAGGTCAAGGTAAGTTACCCCGCCACAAGCTCTTTGTCTGGCGGTGTATTGTGTACGGAACAATACCACGCGGAAAGGCAGAGCATCCCCGATGGCCGCATCATCAGTCAAGTCTGTCTTAGTTCTTGCATGATATTCGTTCCATTCCAGCTTCATCGCAGGCACGTCGGCCAAGACCTCCTCCGTCTTCAGCTTCCTGTAAGTTCTCCGGTTTTGGGTTTTACGGTTCCCCAGTTTGAAGGTGCTTCTGAGCTATCTCTAATGCACACTGTCCACAGCTACCTCCCCGCAAGTCCAGCATGTTGAACTAGTGGTTTCGCTGGCCTCTCCCGTTGAATCTCGCCCAGGAGCCTCCCGCCCATTTAGTCCTCCAGTACCTGCCCGACTCACCTCCTCGATCCTCGCGCCATTTAACCTCCACCTTACTTTTCCACCCACGACCTTCCTTCAAATACCCTCGCGATGGCGTCGGCCATCTTCTTCCTCGATCTCAAGGGCAAGGTATGAACCTTCGTGGAGGTTGCGCTGTCACGAACAATTCCGCCGTGATCCCCTGGAACCTAACCGTTTATTTAGACCCTTCTAGCCCGAAACTACCGCGGAGACATCCCCATGTCCGCCGTCGAGAAATTCCCCATCCTCCTCAGTGACGCCGAAGAAGAGAGCTCCGCCGTGGCTCCGTGCTTTTCCCACGAAGGAATTAACGTACGTATTTGTGTCTCCGACTTGTGGCTGCGGCGGCGCACCTGCATCTCCCCCCCGCCGTTCCCCGCAACCCGCTGTGTCTACCATCTCCCACATCAGCCCTGCGCGAATACTCAGAATGGAACGCAGAATCATGGAGGTCAATTGCTGAGAATACAATCTTGTCTAGTACCTCTACATCCGTCACAGCAACCTTTACATCCTTGCCCTGACTAAGAAGAACACCAATGCCACCGAGATCCTCCTTTTCCTACACAAGATCGTGGAGGTATTCACGGAATACTTCAAGGTACTGGAGGAGGAGAGTATCCGCGATAACTTTGTCATCATTTATGAATTGCTCGATGAGATGATGGACTTTGGCTACCCGCAGACGACGGAGAGCAAGATATTGCAAGAGTAAGACGGGCCCGTCTATGCGACCAGGAGTGATGGGGGATCACAGCTAACGAGTCCATGGCAGATACATTACCCAAGAATCACACAAGCTGGAGATCCAAGCCCGACCACCCATTGCTGTCACCAATGCCGTGTCATGGCGAAGTGAGGGTATCCGGTACCGCAAGAACGAAGTCTTCCTTGATGTTGTGGAGTCCCTTAACCTCCTCGTGTCCGCGTCTGGTAACGTGTTGCGATCGGAGATTCTTGGAGCTATCAAGATGAAGTGTTATCTGAGTGGTATGCCGGAGCTTCGTCTGGGTCTGAACGACAAGGTCATGTTCGAGACCACGGGTCGCGCAACGAGAGGAAAGGCTGTCGAGATGGAGGACGTCAAGTTCCATCAGTGTGTCCGTCTTTCTCGGTTCGAGAATGACCGCACCATCAGTTTCATTCCCCCGGATGGCGAATTCGAGCTGATGAGCTATCGGTTGAACACCCAAGTCAAGCCTCTGATCTGGGTGGAATGTCTGGTGGAGTCGCACTCGGGTTCGCGCATGGAGTACATGTTGAAGGTACGGCCAACACCCCGTTTATACTACTCAAGAGAAACAAAACGACCAAGCTAACACCATCTCTCCTTAACAGGCCAAGGCCCAATTCAAGCGCCGCAGCACTGCCAACAACGTAGAAATCCTCGTCCCAGTCCCGGAAGACGCCGACTCACCCCGTTTCCGCACCAACATCGGAACCGTGCACTACGCGCCCGAGAAGTCCGCCATCATCTGGAAGATCAAGCAGTTCGGCGGAGGCAAAGAGTTCCTCATGCGCGCAGAGCTGGGTCTGCCGTCCGTAAAGGGCGACGACGAGCACGGTGGTGGCATGACCGGTGGTTTCGGCGGCAGCATGGGCGGAACCGGGCAGGGCAAGGCAAAGCGGCCGATCAACGTCAAATTCGAAATCCCTTACTTCACTACTAGCGGTATCCAAGTCCGGTACTTGAAGATCACGGAACCTAAGGTATGTCCATATCCCATGCCAACTCTCGTGACTTTCCCCACCACCATCAGTCGGAATATCAGTCTTGTCGCACAAGCACAATGAATGAATGAATGCTAACGAATGACCCGATGAATGCAGCTACAATACCCCTCCCTCCCATGGGTGCGATATATAACACAATCAGGCGACATTGCTGTCCGCATGCCAGATGTACAATGATGTAAAGCGTTTCTTTCATTTCTTTTTCTATATCTTTTCTTCTCTAGTTATCATTCAATAGATATACTTTCTTCCCTTTTTTTTGCATCAAGCGTGGATCATCTATCTATTGATGGAGTGCACTCCTTGTACAAATTGGTTCACTGGCACATGATCATCGGGAAATTCGATAGTTATAGTAGTGCGACTGATAATCCTCCCTAGGCCCTCAGGCAGCGTGAACGTGACATATACCATAGAAACTTCGCCAATGCCTTACAACTACGCACTTAGTGACTTAGTGCTATTGATGTCCAAATCACGGGACTGGATCCAATTGAAGTGATGTTATGTTGGTTTCATGGAAGTGGTAGTAATGGGTTACTCAACACAAATGTACTACTCTGTATCTACTGCCGCTAGTAGTAGTAGTATATATATTACACCATGGTTTCATGTATTGTATCATTCATAATATACTACCATTTTTATTCCGCGGTTCACGATCATACAATGTATGGCACGGTCCCTTCCATCATTGTTTTCTTCCTCGTTATTCATCGTCTTTTTTTGCCACCAACATACAGACACAATGACCATGTAATATAGAACCAATAGATATAGACTGAGAATATTTGTGAGAAACCAGTACATCAATGAGCAGGTGAGTGAGTGAGTGGAGACAGTCATAAGGAAATGAAGACAACAACTTTTTAAAGACCAGCATGTTACAAATAGTAATGGAAGTATGGATCCAGATGAGAAGATCAATATGGTATGATATGATATGATAAGATATGGAGAGTTTGAAAGTGCGAGATAGAGAGAAGAAAGAACAGTATACATACATATAGAATGCCATGCATGCTAAGTAGGGTATCTTTGTCTTTTAATGAAACAGATTTGTTTTAGTTTTGCATTACGTACTTACTCACACATCTCTTCTGCTCATAGCTTCCGTAGGTTAGATTGCCGTGTAGGCGACGCTGGCTAATAGGTAACTGGTTCGTTGGGTGCAGTGAAGTGAGATGCTGTTTTGCGTTTCTTTTTCGTCATAAGGCGTACGGGTCCATTTTCCCTTTCATATTTGGTGGAGTGCTTGGCTGATTTGAGGGATGGCCGGTGGCGGCCGGTCGAGGAGTCAAATCAATGGGTCCCGTTGCTGTTGTCCGGGGATTCAGCCGCAGGGAGGGGGAATCCGTCCCCGTGACCGGTTGCGGCGGCTTTGGAGAAGCCCTCACGAGCTAGCATAGTGTTTAGGACGGCGCAATTGTAGGCTGCCTCGCCCGGCGGTACAACCAGAAAAATGTACGTATTGTCCGTGAAGCGGCCGAGGAAGACGTTAAACTGCGGAGTCTTCGTGTGCATGACGACGAACCCGGCAGATGCAGGGGTTGTGTGGGTGTTCCGCGCCGCACAGTGCTTGAAGGCTTTCATGATGTTGGAGAGTCGTTCATGGCGATCATAGATGGGGTTCATGTCGCCTACTTCTGAGGAAACGGAAGTTACGGTGAGGAAGGTTGACCGTTCGAACAGAATGACTTCTTCGGCATCAATTCGCTTGGCGAAGGCTTGCAGGAAGCGCTCGATGACAGTCAAGTTTGGAATAAGCTTGTGGACAATGCCGGCCCACGCTTTGTAGAGCGATTGATCCCAGATACTACTGCCAAAGGTGTCGATACTGAAATGCTCCGAACGACTGCGAATTAAGGCGGACCGTTCTTCGTAGATGCGTTGACGGTGCTCGGCCTGGATGAGATCCAGCTTATGTACAAGGCAGAACACGTAGGCGTTGGGACTGTATTCTTTCAGGGCGTTGATGATGGCGTTGTAGGTGTCAAGATCGCGCTCGACCTCGCGGGATTCAATGTCGAAGACGTAAATCAGGACCGCGACGTCGGAGAAGATATTCCCTCGCTGAGACGCGAGATATGTTTCCATGAATGCATCCTGTCTGTTTATGGTAAAAGAGCGCGTTGGGTTAGACACTGCAATGATTCGAGAAATGTCTGAGACTGCGACTTACCCTCCGCAATCCCAGAGGTTCAGCGTGAGGTTCCCCATGAACTTGACATGGCTGTGCTCGACATCAATGGTAGCACCCAGGCGTCGGACATCTTTCGCAACATAATTGCTGAAGATAATTGAGCGCATAGACGATTTTCCAGATCCACTCTTGCCCATCAAGAGGACCTTTCTCTTCTTCTTGCGCATATCCATTGTGGCAGTTCCCCGGAGCTATCCGTTAACCGTACCCCGCACTTACGGGGCTGGTGATCGTTCAGGTGGATGACAACCGTGAAGAGATGTGGGATTTAGCATCCGCATAAATACCTCCAGCCCATGGGATGCAGTAGGACCCTGCAAGTCGAGGGAGGTAACGATCTCCACAGGCAATGAATGGGCGAGGGTGGTTGGTTGGACAGAAGGAGCAGCAGCAGCCGGATGACCAGCCTTCCGGGCGTCATTGCATGAGCTTCTTCCCAGGATTAATAATATTCCGGTCCCATCACGTGGAGAGCGCACGGTTCACCCAGGGCTGCTGACATTCAAGGTGGATGGGATGCAGAGTGCACGGTTAGTTGATGCGAGTAATGTACTGTCCCTCTCACCGAACTATCCATCTCCTTCTCCCTGCCTTGGAAATCGTCCACGGAGGTGGCGTTCATCCACATTCCTCCCATGTGCCTCCATTGTTATTAGACTTTCTGCACGGAAGGGGGGTTTGCCAATCATCAGGCTCCACTTCATCCGTAGTGGATTAACTAGAACCGAAACATTATCAAACTAGCAAAGACACTATCCCCATAATAATTCCTTTTCCAAAGGATAATAGTCAGGACTGAGACTGTTGGCGGAAAGACTAATCCCAGCCAGGTAAACTTTTATGATCACATTTCCCTCCAAATATAGGCAAGAAGGTAAAAAGGGCCCAAGGAACTGTGTACAGGAAAGGTAGACGATCATCTCTTCACGATGATCCTACAGAAGAAATTAGGTATAAAGTCGGCCAGGTGCCGCAGCAGAGACCTTTGTACAAAACGAACAGAAAAAGGGGGAGCCACAGGCGATGGGCACGAAAGTAGTAAGACGCATAAACATCCGGTCATCAAAGTCGTAAGCACGACCACCAGCCATGGAACGGGCGTCGACTGGCGGTGTCAGGTATCCAAAACATCAACAGATATGCGATCATTAGAAAACAGTGCCATCGGAACGGATCATGATCGGAGGTTCTTTCGTGTTGGGTCTCGACACTTCGGCAATCTCACGGCCACCCTGTTACTTCTGCATCAGCAAATGTCGCCCATGTAAAACAATAAGTGCAGGGATAAATTTATCACATACCTTCCAGGATCCAGCCTCAAGCATCTGTGCAAGGGTCAACTGATCGTCTCCCGTCAGTCCAAGCTGACCGTTCACTTCATCCAGTAGCTCATCCAGGAACCCAACGGTTACAGCCCGCCATTCAACAACAACGTCGTCATCCGTGGAGAAGAGTGGTACAACTTCCACGTTGGGTTGGCCCTTGATCTGCGCATTCTCCTTGTAGGCGGCGATACCCCGCTCCAAATCGTGTTCCTTCAGAGTCAACAGACCCATGTCAATCAGCAAACCACCGTTCCGGTATTCGGGTAGACCCGTGAGCAGTTCACTGCCGGCGAAATGGATCTTCATCAGTTTCGACATGGGCACCATGATAGAGTAGCACAGCCACTGCGTAAGCTTGTGGAATGGGACGATGCTCTCCCAGGGTTTCGCAGGGGGAGACTTGGGGAGATCGGAGCACGGCCAGGCGTCTCCGATAGATAGCCCATCAATCTGTGTGCGGGAGGGCGGCCAGATCGGAGACAATCCGTCCATAAGAACACTCCAGAGCGTGGTGATAGGCACAATTGGAACCGATGAAGCAAGTGTAGACGGATGAGAAAGGAGGTAGTCTAACGATGTCATGTTAGTCGAGATCCCAGCGACCCTTCATCGAATAAAGCCTTACCGAGCATGTTGCCTGGCCTAGCATCTACCCCAAAGAAATCTTGGTTGTTCAAGGCCTCGGAAAGTCGGATCAGAAGACCAGCTCGGCCTTCAATTCCCGCCAAGGGGTTGGTTTCGGAGTGTTGCATTCCCTTTGCCAGTACTTCGACCGTGATCTTCTTCAGGCCTGCCCCATCCACTTGACAAGGCTCCGTCGGATCGCTGCTGAACAAACCACTCTTAAACATTTCCAAGGTTGCCACGGCCAGACCTTCGCTCCGCGAATAGATCTTGCCGGACTCCTTCGACTTGTATGACCACCTGGTACCTGCACCAGCATCGAGAAGGACGGAAACAACGAAAAGGTCGATCAATCGCCGGGTGCGCTCTTGCGCATCAATGGTACTGGGCCAGGACTGGAGCAATTGGTTAACGCGGGGTCGTCCACCCACGTCGAAGTGTTGCCAACGGCCATGAGGGGGAATGGAGTCGTAGTCCGGGCCATAATCTCTCTGCAAACGATAGCTTTGATTAGCAAACCTGAGCGGGAATAGATGGACTGGCTAATCCTTTGGCCGAAAAGGCTGCAGCATAAAGTATGTACCTTGATAATGGAGACAATGTAAGATGCAGTGGCCATGAATTTGCCCATATCCACATCGAAGTGGTTGAGTCTATTTCTCTTGGCCTTGTTCAAAACAAGGCTGCAGCGCTCGCGGACAGCATGGATACTCCGCAGGTAGGCCGCTGGATCGAGGGCCGGATCAGGTGGTTTGGCAATGGGTAGTTCTGGGATGGAGGCAGGCAGCCCACTTCCTTTATAACCGGGCGATCTCAATGATGCATTGGAGGTACGAGCACTGTTGACGGTTACGGTCGAGTCGAAATCCTCCTTCTCGCTTTGAATCGAGTTCTTAGAGTCTTTGCGCTTGAAGAGACCCATGGTGACGGGGAGGGGTCAATAGTAGAGACGGAGGGTGAAACACAACAAACGCTCCCTAGCACTCAGGGGGAAGAAAGAACACTTGTTCGTGCCAGGGGATTGACAGTGAGGTGGAACACTCGAGGAGGGAAGGGAAGGGGAAAGAAGAAAGACAGATGAGAGGCCCTGGTGCCAGAAGAAAGCAGACCGGAAAAATGGACACCAGAGGGGAAAAGGTACATAAAAGGATGGTGATCTGCGGCAGTTGCGGGAGACTCGAAGAAGAAAAAGAAGAGAAGAGGCCCTGGTGGGTGGTGACTTTTGGTTTTGACTCTTTAGTCTGACTCTTCGCTCGTTTTCTTAATTTTCTGTTTGTTATTATTTTTAATTTTTCTTTTCTACCTTCTGTAATTTTTTGGGGCCTTTTCAATTCCTTTGGGCTTAAAACTTTTTTTTTTTCTTTACAGCATGGAGGGACAAATAATACTAATAATAAGGACGAGAAATGAAATAATAATAACAGGAATAATACGGGGCGGGGCGGCCGAGTGAGCTTAGGAGGAGTTAGGAAAGGTTAGGAGTTAGTAGCCCAACTAGCAAGACATCATTGGAGCGAAAAGGAGTGGTCAGTAGCCACTGGACCTTCACGGAGCATACACCCAGTGAACTAGTCGAGCCCTCGGAGTCGGGAGGTGGAGAGCTTGAGGGGGGCAGAGGTCTTGTCGGAAAGGCTCCAGTTCGATGTTAAAAAGGGTGCATGGCGGGTTGGCCGATTTAGCGTTCTGATAGGAACCGATTCGTACCAATGTTTACCGTTCCCACGGTCGTGAACACTACTGGAAATGTAGTCGCTTGAAAAGAACTTAACTTTTTACCAGTACCTGGTATTTACTGGGTAGTAAAGTAAGTAGTAGTCCCTGTCAGGTACAAAGTAAAAGGAGTTAATAGAACAACATGGGGCCAATAATAAACATGTATAACTGGAACATATTGGTCTAAAGCAAATGATTCCAAAAAGATACAGATAGGCTACAGAATTCGACCATCCCATGCCTAGGTAGTTAGTACGTAGTAGTATCCAAGGGCAGTCAGTCCGTCCCTTGGGGAGAAGGGCCAAACTCAGGGCCAAGGGACCAAGACTACCGCGGAGTATTCAGTCCGCGGCGCAATCGACCCGACGCCAGTGATGAGGTCAGAGAATATCAGACCAGTTGGAAGAGTGGAAGAAGATAGATACATCCAACTAGTTAATGTCTGATGTGCCCTAAGCATGTAGGTGCATGATGGTGCATGCATGATAAACCCAACCCGACCCATCCATACGCGCGCGTTACCGTACGTACCGCACGGTACCAGACCGGTACCTGGTCCCGGTGATGGTGGGGGAGGGAGCCCATAACTGGCCCTGTGTCTGGTAAAGTGCAAATTTCCCAGAATGGAGCAGTTCCAACGGGCCTTGGACGACGACTACTTTAGCACCTCCCCCTAAACTCATCACCCATCAACTTCCTCCTCGGTGCTACGGCCGACCAAGGGATGCTGTGTCCAGATCGATGGAACCAATGGAAAAATAGGTTAAATTAGCGAGGACCAAAAAAGAAAAAGAGGAGTACAGGGAAGCACAGACAAGCCTGCGCACAAGGCTATACGTACCAGGTTCATTTGCTCTCCCCCTCTCCTCGCCCCGACACGGCGGATCTAGCAGGCTGTTAGTCACTCTGCGCCTCCAGCATTTCACCGAATCGGGACATGTCTCTCCCATGGAACCATGGCTCCTTCACCTGTAGTCCAAGGATAGAGGGGAAGAGAAACCAAGATATGACTCGAATCAATGCTAACGAGGGCGCCAGGTAGATAGATAGGATATACTCCAATCCACATTTGTGAATTATTGACCGAGCGCCAACCACCCCCTCCCCTTGGCAACCTAGGTCAGCAGCGGGTATCAGTCAAGCTCTCCACCTTCTTCAATGTCCACTCCTGGCTAGCTATCTTCTATCGAAATGCATTGATACTCGGCACAATCGTGGTAATGGTGTGCAGGGCCAATAGTCACTGCTCAGGCGCAATGTTGGCTGCTATAGTGCGATGCTCCCGCTTATCTGGGGAATATCTCCGATCTGATGGCGTGTGACTCGTGTTTCCTTTTTACTTCAGGGGGGGTGAGCTTATGCCGCGTCTAACTAGCTACTATCACCCCATATTGACTATAGCCGCGGCATAGTCTACCTTATGCGTACATGTCGATGTTTCACTTCAGGAGAAAATAGCCTCGCTGCAGCCTTGTCTCCATATCGTTCTGCTTTGCTAACGCAATCCTGATCCACAGGCGGTGGCAAATTCGTAGAGAGACGGGGAGGCGATTGAAACTAGAGTGTAGATAGTGTTCACATTGTCAATTGCCCTGGTGATTGCTATATTTGTCTTTTTGTTCGATGCCACGTATAGGTGCTAAGTATGGAAAGTGTTAGTAAAGTATAGTTAAGGCTACTTCCTGCTGCGCCACAACAGTGAAACCGGGTGTCGTGAAGCATATGGTTTGAATAATAAAGGACATGTACAACGTAGTGGTCAATGACAGTATGACTGTTTCTGTCAGATAACCGTCTCGTGCCTTTTCCAACAGATGTGGTAGTCAGACTGTAGCTGGGGCGTTATGACTGTTGGTGACCCTATAGTGCACAACTGGAAAACTGAAGATCCCAACACGAGCCGAAGGCCGATCATGCTTCAGGTAGAAAATCACCTAATAGTGCCAATTGCGCCGCGGTCGACCAGACTTTCGTCTCGGCACCTACTACCACCCACAACATCCGGCATTAGCAAGTGTGCAGGAAAAGAGCAGAGCCAGCAGTATGCGAAGAATTGGCCCTTTGTGAGATCGGCAACCCTATTTCCATCAAGTGTGCGACTCCCGAAAGGAAGGGAAGTTGCCGATACGCGCATTTATGGTTCAAGTGGACCTTGGTTTGAATCGTACGCGGGCACGCAACTATTGCCGTGTCGATCTCAATCCGGCAGGATCGTCCACACCAGAATATTCGAACTAGTAGCGAATAAGTTGACGGGAAATAGTTTCTAGTCTCTCTGAAGCATGTCAGGTGCAGAATATAATATTATTTTGGCTGAAGACAGTCGCAAATAGGTAACTGTGGCCAGGAAGTGCCGCAGGTCTGCGATACGTTTCATAAGTGGTAGAATACTAAACCTCCAGATCGTCCGCAACTGGTTGGTTTTACCAACACGGCGATTTCACATGCGTCACATTCGATGGGTTTCGTAGCCCAATACCTATAGGTTGCTTTTTTTATAGCTACCCGCATGTCATATTTGCTTTTGTAGAACACATTGGTCGGATGCGAGGGCGCTAGGGCGGGATAATGTTTCTTGAGCTTCGCGCTCGTGTTGTGCCCACTTTCCCACAACCCTAATGAACTTGTGCAGAGCGGGATGATGATCATTGATAGCAGTAGGTAGTAATATGATGATGGAGAAGACTCTTACACAGTCAATGGACAACCTACAGAACAGGAAGCAGCAGCCGGTTTGGGTACCTTCTTAGATCTATGGAGCTTTTCAGAAAGCAAATGAAACATTCCTATGAGACACGGACTGGGTCAAACTGCAAACATCATCTACATGCCACTATTTAGAAGACAGTAGTCCTACCGCCTAGAGGCCTCCTTTGACAGCTCATGGATGCGTGCTGGATATAGGCATAGATTTGTCGATCATACCCATGGTGTCGCGTGAGGAATAAATAGTGTTGGACTGCAAGTGTTAATTCCTCAGGATTCTCACGTATTCCTTCGAATCGATCTTTATCGTACTCTCTCGTGAAGAAGTAGCAGGGCGGAGATGTGGCTCACACCACCATTTGTAATTTGAGTTCAGCCGGAAGAATTCTCTTCAAAGTTCGGCTTCTTGCCCCTCCCCTCCAAAAGCCTCCGTATCCCCGGTGTCGCGCATCTGCGGTCATTCAGTAGAGGATGTTGTCGAGAGCGACCGTGTCAGGCTTGAGTAAGATTGCCCTTATGCTAAGGTATGGTATATACTGTGGCGTCATTTAAAATTACTGTTACTGTTACCGTTTCAGACGGCAAAAAACAGCAGCTGGCGACTGGCACATGTACTGGGGTTCTTTGGTTGATGAACTCTGCAGCTAGGCGAACCCCAGAGTAGTCGAAGCCTTGTAGGTATATTACCTGATCTTATGACTGTCCCATCGAGGCCATTGTGGCTCCCAATAGCCTTGCCATTGATAATGAATATTACATTTCATGGTTGGAGTGGATCCAGTGCAGAGTAGAGTGATTATCGCGAGCTGCATGTGTGATGCTAACTTAGGATACAGTAAGTGGAAAGTGTCGCCAAACTTGGGGTTCCTCCGATATAGGCAAGGTGTGCTTACTAGCCATAGGCATTTTCAGAGGACTGCTCCATACTGGGGAATAATATCATACGATACTGATAGTGCTAATTGGGGAAGCTTTTTGTATTTGGGAGGATTATATCCGAACGACTCCGCGCACCCTGTACTTTTGGGAGGATGGTAAGAAAACCCTTGTATTAGTCGATATGCACAGTTGCTGCAAGCCCCTCCCACCTTCCCCTCCAAAAATGACAAATGTCAATGCACTGGCGTACCCGCTAACGCGGAAAACACGGCCCTGGCCATACTGCTGGGTCGCCCGGGTTTCAGGTTTAACGTTCCGGGTATTTTAATTCTCGCGGCGTAATCGAGGCATTGACAACATGATCATTGTGATATAACCACATTCGATGAGAGCAAGAAATCACTCATCCATCGCCAATGTTTAACTTCGTCAGGAGACAGAAAGCCTCGGAATAGTCCGAGCTCTTACAATTGGGTCCGGAGAGGTCCATTGAATTGGCCCGTAATCTCAACGGCGGCTACTGGTAAGAGACCCAATGCTAGTTGAAGCGACTGCCATGACTCCTTAGTGCGACTAATCTTGTCATCTTTGCCTACGGACTACCCGCCCTACCAGTACCGCACC